TAGTAGAACCCTGTTACCCGTTGCCATGATTTTGTGCATTTCAACAGTCGTAAAATTGTTTGTGGGGGGTTGTATACTCCTACAAAAATTATTTCATTGATTTTAATTATTAGGTGTTCCTGTGATATTTTGATATTAGGATATTGAGTATAATTTAAGTTTGATTTGATAAAATAAGCTACTCCGCCCCATGATTGGTCGGGTCTGTCTTGTCGAATGACATCATACCCTTGTATTTTGATTTTGTCAGTATGTTTGTAGTGTGTCTCCGTAAGGAGTATGATGTCGAATTGATGTTTGAGAATGAAACTGCGAACAAGTGCTGTTTTGTTGCGCATCTCATTTACATTATAAAAACAAATTTTGAGTGTTTGTTTGTCTCTACTAGTTAGTTCAGTTTAATAATTTGAAATTAAAGTCGATGTTAGACATGAAGTCATTATAGGTTTCGAAGAGTTCTTGACCTGATTTACATTGTCTTATTTTGGTATTTAGTTCTCTAACGGCTCTAGTCATTTCACTGATATTTATTAATTTATTTAATTCCGCGAGTTGTTTGTTAAGGGTCGAGACATCGTTCATGATCTTACCTTGTTCTTCTGATTGCCTTGGTCTTTCCGTCCTTACATTTCTTGCTGTAGGGTTGGGATTTTGGCTCCTGCTAGGTAGTGCAGGGAATTCTTCATTTATCCTGCTTGTTTGGTTCCTGTTTTCCCATCTATTAAATGCTGGTGGGGGAGCTGGGACATATTTTGGCTTCTGTTGAGGCTTACTTCTCCTCTCTTCCAGTCTTTCAAGTCTTTCTGTGTATGCTTTGCACTTCGTATAATTTGCGGGGTGATCTCCCCCGCAGTTCACACAGGTGGCCGGTGTATCGCGTGTTTTACTGCAGGTGCGGGTGTGATGTTCCCCTGCACATTTGAGGCATCTCGCTGGCCGTCCACAATTGGCTGTAGCGTGTCCCCATCCTTGACAGATGTGGCATTGAATTATTTGTTTAGAGGACTTCCTTAATTCCCATACAGAAATTCAGTTTTCAGTTTTAAAATCCTTTATTCAATATATACATTAATTACAATACATTTACAAGCTCCATTTTTAAAAGAAAAAATAATATATGAAATAATAACAAGTAAAATAAAACATAATATTCTTCCTTCTGAATCCGTGTACGGATTGGCTGATGTTCTTGCCCAATAGCAGCTTGTGATGTTTCCCAGTTTTGGCTGCCTTGCTTACTCCCTATCAGATCGATATAATTAAGCAGTTTTGAGCTTTGATGCTGTTCGCAGTTAGTGATTTGATTGTGTGTTGTGTGTGAGTTTAATTATGTCTGATTTTTCCCTGAAAAAGTGTCCCATACAGAAATTCATTTCAAAAGTCGTTTATTTACAATATATATACATTTCATTTCTAATAACATTTTTAATTCATAAAAACAGAGGGATTTCTTCTTAAAGGACTTCAGGAAGTGTTCCTCTTCTGCAATGTCCCCAGGCGGGGCCATGACCGATGTCTTGGCCGTGAATTAGAAATATATTAGTTTTTGTTATGACTTCATGTGACCCCTCCTTGCTAAAATCAGCATTATAGGTCAATATAGGCTATTAACCAGATCAGTAATGGTAAAGTGTTAAGTTTTTGTTGATTTTACTTTTGTCTGTCGTCCCTGAAAAACCAGTTGAAAAAACAGGGTTGTCCTAAAATGTGTGTCATTTGTGGTAGTTTATGTGCATGAATTAGTTAAATCACAAGACTACACAATTAATCCATCACACAACGCAGGAATTCCGGCAAGCCATGAATTTTCGCACTGTGTGATGACGTCACCGTGCAGTCTTCCGTCCGACGAAAGTTTGTAGCTATTCATCGTAGTGATTTTACTATTCAGTGGGGTCTTCGCTGTTAAGGAGGATGTACGTCGGTTTTCTCATGTATCCTGTCCATGTAGTCGCATAAACATCCACAAAAGCATTTTACCATGTAATTAAACGAATGTTACTGTATTTTAAAATTGAATGATAGAGTTAATTTAAGAGTTTGAAATTGATGTCAACGTCCGTCATGAACGCGTTGTATGTCTCTATGATGTCTTTTCCCGTTTTACACTTTATTAGTCTGGCGTTCAGTTCTCTGACTGCTCTGGTTAATTCACCTATATTGATGAGTCTATTGAGGGTCTCAAATTCATTATTTAGGGCCGTAAAATCATCCATGGCCACGCCTGGGGTTGATTGTTTTTGTATATCTGGTCTTCTAGGTGGGATTTTCACGTTTTCTGCCATTTCTCGTGCATATTTCGTTGGTAAAGCTGGAAATTCTGTATTTGGGTTTCGGTTCTTGTTTCTGGCCTCCCATTGGTTCAAGATCGGCTGGGGGGCGGGAACATATTTTTGATGCTGTTTAGGCCTTCTTTCAAGCATCCTCTCTAGTTTTTCGACATAATTAGGGCATTTCGAGTAGTTAGCGGGGTGATCACCCCCACAGTTTGCACACGTTGCCGGCGTTTCTGGAGTTTTTACGCAAGTTCTCGTGTGGTGATCACCCGCACACTTTAAACATCGCACATTTCGGCCACAATTGGAGGTTGCGTGCCCCCACTGTTGGCAGTTGTGGCACTGTATGATGAGTTTCATGGATTTCCTCAACTCCCATGTCACTCTGGTATAGAGGACCCTTCGAGTGTTTTTGTTCAGGTATTCCAGCGTAATTACGGGGTCTGTAACCACTAGGAATAATGGTCTCTCTTTGGTTCGCATTTGATACACCGCACGCGGTTTTATCTCGTGCTCTTCTTCTAGGTTCTCCTCTATTTGTGCGATTTTGGTTCCTTCCGCAAGACCTCTAAGGACGAAGGCATGGGATTTGTCATCCCTTGAGGTATACGTATGGTATGGCATATTTTCGGACTTAATATTTTGTAGCACTCGTTGATGGTCCTCTTTATTCTCTACAAAGATGATAGTTGTGTAGTTGGTATGTTTTATGGAAAAGTCACCTTTGACTATGCCTTTGAGATCCTTGACTAGATTTGCCTGATTGGCCGTCCTGCCATCTATTACAATTGGGGGCATTGTACTTCTGTTAGTGCTCGGTCTATGTTGTGTTTTTTGCGCATTATTAGTTTTTGTTGCGTTTACATGTGTATTATCAATATTGCGAGTCGCTTGATTTTCAGTCATGTCAAGGGGTACGAATTTGGTCCCTTTTTTGCGCCTTTTCACAATCCTATCAATTTCATCTGCATCCGAATCAGATTCATCGGTGAGAGGTTGGAATTTATTATGCGTAGGGGTGAGGGTCTTTTTGGACTTCTCTCTTATGAGATTTTGAAAGTTACTGGCAAACTTTTTTGGTGTGGTAAATGGTAGTTCCTCACATCCTTTCGTTATTTCGGTTTCCATGTCTGTTTCCTGGTTTAATGCCGCTCTCTCAGTAGCTTTTCTGTGTTCAGACTGGCTATTAGGTGTATGAGGCAGGTAGCTGTACCTGTCATTCCTCTCCTTCCTTGTTTTGTCCTCCTCTTCAGAGGTATGTCTATTGGAGTCGAAGTTTAGGATATTATCCGCAATACTGGTGGGGATGTCATTTTTGTTTGCCTCTCTTCTTATGCGTGGGTCACTGTTGATCCTTGTTTTAGGGATAGCCCCCTTGGAGCTAGGTATTTGTGAGGCTGCGAGTGTGGACACAGACCCTAGAGAGAGGTTACTCAGTTCGCCCCTCTTTTGAGCGTTATCCACACTTACAGATATTTTTTCAGGGGGTTTTTGATTGGTGCTTGTGCTTTGTGTACCTGTGTTTACAAAGTTAAGGTTTCTTTTAACCACGTTTTCAGGAAACGGTAGAGTTTTGAAAATTATCTTTTTTGCCGCTTGTACGAATTCAGGCGAGCCAATTTTGGGGGGGGGGGTTTGTCCAGATTCTAGCTCAGAGTTTGGTTCTGTATCCATTAAGGAGTCCGTACTTTCTACAGAGTCTCCTGATCTTTCTAATACATCTATTAGTTTTTGAGTTGTTATATCATAGTCTTTACCTTCTGCTAGCCTATCTTGACTCTCCTGACTGTCCTGAAATTCCAGTGACTCTTCCGAGTCAGCCGTGGACGGCTTGCGCGCCTGTGTTCCACCTTCTATACTGATGTTTTGATCTACTGTGGTGTTGTTAAGTGTTTAGGGGTCGTCTGAAGGTGAAACTTCAGAAATTTTTGCCGGGGAGTCTTCCTGTTGCTTCTTTTCCTTATCAATTATAATTGGAGGACACAGTGAATCAAAAATGTTAGTACTCACATAGGTTGATCCAGTTCTCTTAATTTTGGCTTTCGCAGTCTTCGGAGAATTCAATTTAAGTACTCTATCGTACTGTGATTGTGTGAATCTACATCTATTTTTGAGGCGTCTAGTATATTCGGTCTCAAAACCCTTGGAAATTGTGGGGGGCCCTGTGAGCTCCGACATTCACGGTGTAACCACCGATACTTTGTTTAATACTTAACCCTGGCGTAATTGTAAACTTAGATTTTGAAAAAATTTGTTTTGTTTGACAGCTGTCACTATTATCTTTAGCAAACGAACGTAGTCTTGGAGGCAAACGATACCTAGAAGAGTCCTAGGTGTCCCATACAGAAATCGCACTGTGCAGTGGTATCATCGTGCAGTCTTCCGTCCGATGATAGTTGGTAACTAATCGTCGTAGTGATTTGGCTATTCAGTGGGGTCGTTGCTGCTATGTAGGATGTACGTCTATCTTCTTCTGTTTTTTGTCTTGTATGTACGTAAAAGTGTGCAATTTGTAGATATCTATGTCTCCACTCACACCAATTTCCCAGAAAATCAAAGAAATTATGAGAAAAAGTGTTTCCGTAGTCGCACAGACATCCACAAAAAATGCATTTTGTAATGTATTTAAACGAATGTTACTATAAATTAATGTATTGTATGTTAAGTATTAGTTCAAAAGATTGAAGTTTATGTTGACGTCCTTCATGAACGCGTTATACGTCTCTATGACTTCCTTTCCCGTTGTACAAGTCTGGCGGTCAGTGCTCTGACTGCTCTAGTTAATTCACTTATATTTACCAGCCGATTTAATGTGGTAAATTCTTCGTTTAGGGCCGCGAAATGGTCCATGGATCCTCCGGGGGTTATTTGTGTTGGTATTTCCGTATTTCTGGGGGGACTTCTAGTATTTGATGAGTTTTCACGTTGCCTTCTTACTTGTAGTGCTGGAAAATCTTCAGTGTTGTTTTGTATTTGCCTTCTGGCCTCCCATTGGTTGACAATTGGGCTGGGGGGCAGGTTCATACTTGATATTTAATTATTGGCTTTTTTTCCATAAGACTTCCAAGTTTGGTGACATAGTTTATACATTTTGAGTAATTTTCGGGGTGCTCACCCCCACAATTTGCACACGTTGCTGGTGTGTTCGGTGTTTTGGTGGAGGTTAGGGTATGGTGATCACCCGCGCATTTAAGACAGCGTGGAGGCCGGCCACAATTGGCCGTAGCTTGTCCCCACTGCTGACAATTGTGGCATTGTATTATTGGCTTAGTCAATTTTTTGAGCTCCCACGTCACCGTTGTGTATAATACACGCCGTGTATTTTTATTGAGGTACTCTAGCGTTATTACTGGGTCGGTAACCACTAGAAAGAGTGCCCTGTCTTTTGTTTTCATAGTATATATCGCTCTGGCTTTGATCTCGTATTCTTCATCTAGGTTTTCTTCAATGTCACTAATTTTCGTGCCTTTTGCCAACCATCTAAGTACAAAAGCATGTGTTTTATCGTCCCTGGAGGTATGGTGTGGCATTTTTTCCGCTTTGATGTTATTCAGTACTTTTTCGTGGTCTTCTTTGTTTTCTACAAAAATTATCGTGGTATAGTTTGTATGCTTAATACTGAACTCTTCTTTTACTAGTGCTTTTAGATCATTGACAAAATTGTTCTGGTTCGCAGTTTTCCCGTCTACTACTTGGGGGACATTGTGTCTTTGTTTTTGTTTACTCTCGTTTCTAAACGTGAGGGTTTGGCTGAGTGTGCCGTCTGCTGGTTTGAGGTACTTGGAACTTCTATGAGGGGTTTAAATTTCTGTCCTTTTTTCCGTTTCTTAACAATTTTTCCTATGTCATCATCCCTTTTAGAGTTGGATTCATGTGTTTGGAACTGATTTCTTGTAGGGGTGATTGACTTTTTGGATTTTTTTCGAATGTTTTTCAAAGTTCTTGGAGTATCATTATCTTTCTTATTATTTCTCTCTTCTATGTCCGTTTCCATTTTATATAATGCTCTGTCTTGTTTAGTCCTTGGCTCAAATAGGTTGTTAGGCGAATGAGGAAGATTGGTATATCTGTTTGCATGTTCATTTCTCTGTCTGAGTTCTTCATCTGACGTGTGCCTATTGGAGTCATACTTAAGAATTTTTTTGGCAATACTGCTAGGAACATCATTTAGATTTACATCAATTCTTAGTCTAGGGTCACTGTTTATTCTGGTTTTTCTAATCCCACCAGTCGATGTTGGATTTTGTGTGTCTGAGAGTGTGGACACTGGCCCTTGTGAGAGGCTACTCAATTCACCCCTCTTTTCTCCGCACTTCCAGTAGGTATAATTGGTAGTTTTGGGGGGAGGTTTACTCCTTGGACGGTGTTGGCGAAGTCCACTTGTTTTTGTACCACCTTAGCCGGAAAAGGAAGGCTTTTGAAGACTATAGTTGGATATTGTGAGAGAGGGGTTGGTGCAGATGAAACTGTTCCTGGGGGATATTCGCCTGAATCGAGCTTTCTGCTTTGCTGATCTGTGGTGTCCATTTTCGCTGAATCACCAGAACTTTCAAGCACGTTTCTGGACCAAATTCTCATGGTTATTTTGTTCCTGTTGACTTTCTTGACTGTCTTGACTATCTAGAAATTCCTCAGATTTCTCAGAATCAGCCGCGGATGACTAACGAGTCGATTTTACACCTGCTATAGTGTTTGTTGTGATTACTTCCTTTGTTTCAAGTCTTTGGGGGTCACTTGAAGATGATTCCCCAAAAATTTTTGCCTGGGGGCCTCTTGTACCTTGTCCTCAGGATTAATGATTGGGCAAAGAGCGCCAAAAATATTAGTACTCACATATGTTTGTCCGGTTCGTTAAATTTTGGCTTTTGTAGTCTTTGGTGAGTTTAACTTCAACATTTTCTGATATTGTGGCTGTGAGAACTGGCATCTGTTTTTCAGCCGTTTTGTATACTCTGTTTCAAAACCAGAAGCTGTGGGAGACTCGTCGGGCTCTGACATTCACGGTTAACTATCGCAACTGTGAATACTTACACCTGGCGTGAGGGAGAACCAAAGAGGTTAGAAAGGGCAGAGGTAACATAGGAAGCATTTGTCGCTGCGCAAATTTTGCCAAAACCGAAAAACTGGGTGGAAGGAGTAGGGAGACGTTCTGGGCCGGACTTAAATATTTGTATTGTAGTACCTAATTTTGGTGGGTAACTAAAAGATGAAAAATTATGAGACGTTTTTTTGACTTTATTTGTTAGCACGATTCATGTATGATGAGGGCAATAACACTTTATCAATATATAACTAGCTAAGGGCCGATTCCACCGTTGTTTCAAACGAAGTTTAAATTATTAAACGAAGATTAAAATGACATTGTTAATGTAAAAATGTCATTTTAAACTTCATTTAGTAATTTAAACTTCGTTTTTGTTAATATAAAAATGTCATTTTAATCTTCGTTTAGTATTTTAAACTTCGTTTAACAAAACGCGCGGTGAAATCGACCCTAAATAAAAGTTTATAAAATTATTGCAACAAGATAGCTGTTGAGACAATAAGTTATCGAAACAGCCAAAGTACATTTTGCTCGAATTACACACAAGATTTTTTGTACGATCACACCAAAATAAAATAAATAATTAAATTTTATTAGAAATGGGTTACCTTTTCGTTCGTTATAATATTTTAAGTTTATTTGACAGGCCTACTCTTCGAAGAGAAAAAAATGTTTTGGTACTTATATGCCGGTAATTATTTATGATTTAATTATTTACCGAAAATACCGTTCAATGAATTAAAATATTAGGAAGTCAATTAATAGTTATTTATGTAACGTATTTACATACAAGATTTTTTCTAATTTTGACTTGAATATTTATAAAATTGTGTTGAAAAATGACTCACCATAATTCTTTTGTAGGTACTTCCAATCAAATATTTTAGAAAATTGTTGTATTTGATTACCCTACGACGTTTTTTTTTTCAATAGTAGTAATAAAAATAAGGGACATGTGCAGTGTTGCCGATCTAATTTTTGACATTACCAGCGAGAAATTTGAAAAAAAAAAACATTTTTACCCTTTATCCTTAGGAGTACGTCAAAATTTTACCCCCAACATTTCTAAGCCGTTTTCAATAACGGTGTTATTTTAAAAATAAAACGCAATTTACAGCTTTTCTTTTTTGTTTTCTTTTTGTTGTTAAATGTAATGTCATATTTTCAAATGTGAAATGTCACTATTCATTGCCTTTTTTTCGATATTTGGTTTTTTTCGATTTTTCGTTTTTTGGATATTTGGATTTTTAGATTACTCGATTTCTCGATTTCACGATTTTTCGATTTTTCGATTTTTCGATTTTTCGATTTTTCGATTTTTCGATTTTTCGATTTTTCGATTTTTCGATTTTTCGATTTATCGATTTTTCGATTTTTCGATTTTTCGATTTTTTGATTTTTCGATTTTTCGATTTTTCGATTTTTCGATTTTTCGATTTTTCGATTTTTCGATTTTTCGATTTTTCGATTTTTCGATTTTTCGATTTTTCGATTTTTCGATTTTTCGATTTTTCGATTTTTCGATTTTTCGATTTTTCGATTTTTCGATTTTTCGATTTTTCAATTTTTCAACTTAAAAACCAAAAAAGAGGCAGTTTTATTTATTTTCATTTCGTAACTGGTGACATAATCAACTTTTCGTAGTCAGTTGCATAATGTTCTACTTTATGCAACTGGTTGCATAAAGTAGATCGTTTTGACACTTGCTGCGATTACAAAATATATTACTTTATATGTCAAAAATGCAGAATGTAAATTAAATGGATAGATCCCTTATTATTATAGAGCAGTGTTTCTCAAACTTTTTTGGCGAGGGTACCTTTTTGAATAGCGAAATATTTAACGGAGCCCTAAACACATAAAACACATAATTTAAAAAATGTATTTCAAATGTTTCTTTATTTTGACTCTCATTTTGACTTTCAATAGGTAAACATGATAAAAAATCGGCTTTATATTATGCTGCGATTTTACATATTCAATTTTATAATTGTAATTTGACAATATTACTGCCCATCTACGTAGTCTGTTGGCTGAAAATTGAGGTATACATTTAGCTGGGTTAAAAATAGTGTAAGTGATCTGTAACTAGGATAAAGAAATGTCCATATAAATATTCATTAAATTTATTTAAGCCAAAAATTATTGCAAGGACCTCTTTTTCAATTTGGGAATATTTTTGTTCGGACTTTGATAAGGTACGCGAATCAGAAGCTATAGATTTCTCAATATTTTTTTCAAAAACATGACATATCTTGGCCCTTATTCCCACATTTGATGCATCTACGAATAATTTAATCGGCAACTCAGGCTGAAAATTCACAAGATCATCATTTGTTGTTAATTTATTTTTGATTTATTCAAAAGATTCCTTGCAAGAATTATCCCAAATCCATTTCACCCATGAAAAATAAAATTAAAAAAAGTCCTAAAGCAAAATCATATCCTCCTTCCTCTTAGTGACTTAAAAAAATTATTTCTCAAAAAAAGTCCTCAAGCCAGGCCCCTCCATTTTTTGGCGATAGAACTGTTTTTTTTTATTGTGATTATTTTCTTCGCGAAGCCCTCACACTTTGAGTAACACTGTTATAGAGAATTACTAAATAAATAGTTTTGAGAAAACTATTGAAACCAGTTGTCAAGTTTGAAACGAATAAATTGGCAATGAAATTGGTATTTTTGTATTTGATTGTATGTTTCTCTTTTCGCTTGCTAAAAAAAGATTCCCCATGAAACAAGAAATAATAAACAGTTTATAATAATAACCTTTATTTGCTACTTATAACATGTACCAATGACCAAGTCCGATTCTGTTTATTTTCAAATCAACAAATATGGACGTCGACAGAATCCTTAAAAATTAAATATCTCACCGAAATAAATGTAAGTTTCATTTATCTCAGTCACATTTCGCAGGTTTATTATAAATAAAGCTTTTTACAACACATCTTGGCATTTTCAACGTTAATTTCCAAAATTTTAGTCACTAAAATACCAAATTAATTCTCGTTGACACATTAAATTTTGATGGACAACGCTCTGACATGTGATGTTCTCAACTGCGATTGGTGGGTGTGAATAATTTCGAAATGGGATTATGCGCAGTGTCTTATGTTCCATCTAAGGTTTGTATAATCTAAGGGGAGAACTTAGAAAAAGAAAAATTATAATGAATGTAAGCTGTCACTGATAACAACGGAAAAAATATCGTATACTGTGAGGCCAACTATACCTAGACAAAGTTATAGGTCTACTCTTGGTCTTTAATTTCACGAGTGACGTCACCGTCAAGTCTTCTGTCCAACTAGAGTTTATTACTAGATAGGTACGTTCAATTTAAAAAATAGACGATGAAAACGAGACAAAATTCAGTCCAACTCAGATGATAATACAAAAATTATATTATTATAAGTAGATCTTTAAAAAATGAAAGTAATTTGTAAATAACTTGTACGCACTTATAAACAGTCTAACAACTTGAAAATTACACTCAGAATACAGATTATCAAGAAACCACGGTTTCTTTAACTAAAATAATTGTTTTATAAAAAACATCTGGTTAAAAAAACCGTTAGTATTTTCCTTTAAGCTTTTCTATATGTAGTTCTATGTGTGTACACTGCATAATATTGTTCCTGAATATAACCTAGGCTATTACAGGCCACAGTAAAGTGCAATTGGGTACGTCACCCGTGATTGGTCAGAAGATTTATACATTTGGCGGGTGATTCGAATTAGAACCAAACTTTTTCGAACAAAGCTCACCAATAACAAAAGAAGTGGATGGTGCCTGCTAATCTTCTGTATCCATTTTAAACATGTTTGAAAAAATAGCAAAACAATACAACGTTTGAAAAAAACAAAACACTACAAAAAATAGTCTCACTAAGGGAGGTTATGATTGACAACCTGTGTTATTTATAACAGGTCTGGTCTGTTATTTTATAAACACACAGAAATTACAACCTGTTCACAAATAACGTGGCTGTTAAAAATAATTTGTCGATCATAATCCCGTTAATTTAAAATATGGAATGCTAAAGGTGAGACTACACCTTGTCAAGAAATGGTGAAACGTGCGCAATCTCAATTCAACGCCCGTGATTGGCC